AAATAACACCAGCTTCACCATCTCCAAATCTTGCCATCTCGCGCCGAACTGCGTTGGAAATGTCCTCTCGTGTACGAAAGCGTTTCCCTCGCAATGGCTGTTTCAATTCGGGTATTAAGTCATAGTCATACATGGCGAAAGGTCGGGTGAATAAGGAGGATGGTGTAGTACTTCCCATCTCCGACGTCGTAAAAGCTTCTTGACAAAAACCGGTCATTCCTTAATGTGCCTTGCCTACTATACCTACACTATGTAAGACTTGAGGTTCTCACAGCGGTGAGTATGAAGATATCCGTCTTCTGGGTTGTTGCGCTGTGTAGTCTGGTCGATGTTAACCAACGTTTCAGAGGTCATACTGCCTCCTACCTGATCTGACTCCGCCAATCGGAGGAGTATAGCGTGCCCTTTCATATGGTTATTTTGAAATTTCTATAATATAAGGTGTTTGACCCCCCCCCAAAAAAATTAGTTGCCATAACTTTTGAAATAACCCTCGTACTTAAACATTGAAATACTCACGATCTGTGATTTTACCTGTTGTTATATGTGGGTGTGAATTTTACTCACGTTAAGCGTTGAATACGGACTGAGGGTGTTTGAGTAAATTGTGCTGAGAAGAAAAGATTGTAATTTAAGAGGGATGAAGTACTTGGAAGGGAATAGAAGAAATTAATAATGAGGAGCTTCGTGATGTGTAATCTTAACTCAAATCAAAAAGTATGAGATGACCCGGGGAATGTAGCACGCATGGGGAGATGAGAGATGCATACAATTTGGTTGGAAAGCCTGGACGGAATAAATACCTAGTAATAGATGGGAGGATACTGTTAAAATAGGTCTTAGGGAAATGGGACTGGAGAACGTTTATTGGATTAATCTGGCTCAGGGTAGGATCCATTGAGAGGCTGCTGTGAAAACGGATTCTGCTGCGTGAAGTTAGTTATCAAACTATTTGATATCGAGGCTTGACAAGAGTTGAAAGGTACAATTTCTTGTACAAATATTTCTTGAATGCATTATTTGAAATTTTACGTTTATCTTATTTATTTGCGAGCTATTTAACGACGCTGTCAGTAGCTCAGACGATCGCTTTGTTCGAGGCATAATTCATGGCACTATTCTCGAGTTTGTTTAGAGGGACTGAGATAAACCACGAAAAAATCAGTCAGGATAGCTGGTCTTCGTCCCGAGATATAACCCCGGGGTCTTCAGAATACAGAGTAGGAGAAATGACCACGTAGCACAAATTGAATTTCAGGCATCTCATGTGACATTTTGTTTATTTGTTATAAACAATCCTTTTGCTATAAACGTTATTAAACTAAATGAATCTAATGCAATCTATGTATGTGTTTGGCGTGTATGAATTATATTTTCTTGGGTTTTGTTAAACATTAGCCTTGTCAAGAATTGTTTAAATAAAAACTGGACAGTAGAATGAGTAAGAAAAAATTACGTAAATTAATTTTATGGTGATTAAATTAAGGAGAATATGATGGTCGGAATATATAGCATTCATTGGGATATGAGAAATGGTACAAACTACAGTCGGAACACTTAAACTGAGAGACCATTTCGAAGTATAGCCCTAAATGGGAGAATAACATACAGAAAAACAGTTAACAGTTAGTTATGTATGTATGGATTGGGTACAATTTGTGAAGATATGGTTCTAAAGGTAGGATTATGCGAACGTGGTGTTGAAATGTCTGTTTTTTTTTTTAAATAGGGGGTTTTTCTGACCAGTTGATAAACTAATCAAGTAGTTACTCTATCTGTCATTCATTCAGTGAGTATTTAAGATATTTAGATGGTTAATTATTTAATTTGTTCGTTAGTTGGTGGTTAGCTAAGTGTTTACTCGATTTAGTCAATTAATCAGTCACTTAATTACTTATGATAAGGAACTAATCTTCACTTAAGATTCCATAAACTGGCATGTGTACCTACGACGTCTTCGGATTTGGACTGCATTATCAACGAGCCTTGTTTACAATACGAGACAAAAAGGAAAGTAGAATGTTCAGGCGCGCATTTCTCTCCGTAGGCATTTCAATGCCATATTCAAACCAGTTTGTTATAGTTTCCGTCAGAAGCCACTTCCAGCTATGCCATGCATCTAGTCGTTAACTGTAGATCTTATTCGTCATCTGTCACGTGTTACTATCTGGTGATATGCTTCGTCATCTGGAATGGTTCAGTTTCAAAGTCTTGAATCTAACAGAGAATAAACATTTTTGGACAGAACATATGGCGTCTGTTTCATTCTAATGCTTCAGTCCGCATGACCAGGCTAGCATGAATTATAAATTTGTAATTATACCATAATATGATCCGTTCGTATGTAATTATAATTTGTACCTGTTCCAGTATTTAATTACTTATCGACATCGAACTGAGGGTTAACTATAGATTTTGCTCGAGCAGAGTTCAGAGTCTTGTAAATGCCTTGGGTCCCGTGTCTCAAAAATGGGATAGTTTATGTAATGACTGCCACTCATAAATAATTAAATTTATTTCGGGTCATGGTTGCGATAAGTGCCAATTTGCACTATTCTTTCGACAAATCCCGGAGACTGGATATCTTGACCGAGGTTCTCTTAGTTTTACTCAGTACCTCAAGGTACATACCCCCGGAATTTTGTTTATCGATGAATCGTACCTATTAGACACTTTTCTCCCTCTACATATACATATTTGTCCCATTCCTGCAGGACAGAATTTTTAAAACGAGTTCGTAATCAATGGAGACAGTGAAAAACAATAACATTTCTGATTTAGATTTGAAACGCCTTGTATTTTAAAACAGGCCACTTCCATCCGTGTTATTTTCAATCAGTTATTTTCTAGGTATCTGAATGTATATGATCTGAGTTATCGACACCATCGTTAAATAAACCACAAATTAATACGTTACTAGCATTCAGAATTCCGTAAATATGTTGCAGATAAGTACGCTCGTTGTGAACTAGGTCTTAAATGTCTTGCTTCGCATACTTAATCTGTGTTTATACATACTCCATACACGTAAAGGTGATCCGTGTTACATATCACGAACAAACCTTACATAAATTTTAAGTTGATTCAGAAAGCAAATGCCAACATCGGATTTTAAGCACTACAATAAATAGCATTTTAAACACGTGTTCTCTATGAATCAGAGTGACGACTATAATTTTAATTTCTTTTGCAAGGCGGTTGTAAAGAACACCGTTTCTTTGCTGTTCCTAAATTAATTAATCCGTGGACAGAATTCCAAGCTTACAGTATATAATAATAGTGTGACGACAATGGAACCGTTAATCCTCGAACCAAGGTCAGAATATAAATCTCACGTTGCATTCTTTAACTGACCAGACGAGGGAAGGTTCCGTTTTTTAGACCAAGGTCTCGAACCTGTAACAAAAAGGCGAACATCCATTGAAAAGCTTTGTAACAAGTAATCTGTTGTTTGTAACAAGGTTACAGTAGTCGGAAGAATGCGTGCAAGTGATATAACAAATATCTTAGCAGAGTTATTACGAAAATTTGTTCTAGGAACTTGAGAAACTTCATTTTCATGAGATGATAATGTTGCGTCATATTGTGATGATTATAATTGTTTAATTTTAACCGTTTAATCACAATAAAATATTTTATTAAATATCAAATATTAAAATATTATTACTACAATTAACATTTAATATTTAAAATATATTAAAATGATGCTCTTTCTATCGAAATGTTCGATTTACAATTAGAGCATCAATTGTAGTAATAATATTTTAATATTTTAAAATTTAATAAAATATTTTATTGTGATTAGACGGTTAAAATTAAACAAACTTCATTTTGTTTATGCATCGGTCTATAATGTTTAGCTAAGAAGAACGAAAATTAATTATTGTACAATAAATAATGCAAGTATGTGCACAATTTATTGCCGTAAAAACTCCAATTAGTAATTGTATTGTTTGTAATTGTTAACACTCAAAATGTTTCCTACTGAATTTGTAGGTATAATTATAATCAATCTCAATATAACATTTCATGTACCTGACAGATATTTTATTAGTCAACGCCAGCAAACCAAAAGTTAAACATATGTACTGACTGTTCCAAAAAAGATGTATATATACACATTTAATGAGTGAAATTAAGACATTTTAATAAACTAAAGTATTGCATATGTCAGCATTGACAATTCGTGAACAAACAAATCTAATTTAGGTCTTCAAAATGGCCACCGTTAGCTTCGAGGCACAGTTGACAGTCAGCGGCGAGAGACTGACAGGAAGGTTGC